GATTTCGTGATTAACAGATTTCATCCACGTGTGCCCCCCCCCTCCCCCGCCCTCCCCCCCCCTCCCCCCCCCTCTCCTCCCCCCCCCGCGGCGGTGGCGATTTGGGGGAGAAAATCGCAAGTAAGGTTCCTCTGAAGGCTCAAGGCTCCCCCGGTTCTAAGGGCTCTGAGAATTGATTTTAAAGTTTCGCCGGAACACATCAGGCAGGTCTCTTCAGTTGAGAAGGTGCGACATTAGCCTCAGCCAAAACCTGCTGCCACCACAAGATTTAGGGTTCAGGGGTTTAGGGTTTCCGGGGGTTAGGGTGCAGGGAAGTACCATGTAGGGACCTTACATAAGCCTTATGTACCCAGTACTTCATCTGGCATTGGCCCTATATACCCCGAGTATGCCCTTTACATAAAGTAGCCCCACTGGAAACTCCCCTTAAGGGCCATGTGGCTCATATGAGGGCTCCCCGAAACCATTCAGACTTTTCTTGGAAGCTTAAGATCACAAGGTACCTCAATCTTGAGAAATCCGAATCCCTGAGCGCCGAATACCGCTTTATTAGGGAAGATGCCCTACAGGATACTAGGCTGTATCGGACAGCTAAATCACAAGATGTTTTTTCCTTTTTGCCGATCTGGCCGCCTGAATCCAGATGCTATCACCTTGTATCCCATATAGAATCCTAGTAAAGGGCCCTAAACTCTATAATCCAAATGTATCCCCTATACTTCGGCTGCGCGTGAGCGTTCTTGTTGCTGCTGCTTGGATGTTCCGAGGTCTTTCCCGAGCGGGGGAGTGGGCTTAGGGCTTAGGGATTACCATGGAGGCTTATATAAGAACTATTACTAGATGGCCCCCAAGCCAAGAATAGTGATTATAATGGATAATGGTGATCATATGAGGGTCCACGTCTGTTCCGGGTATACCACTACTACAGGGTGGGGGGTCCACCTGAGCTATTATGAAGAATCACTCCCACAGTCGCCCTCAAGCAGCAGCAAGTAAACCCTAGAGACCCCAATCCCAGCATCCGTTTCTTTTTCCATTCTCCACTAGAACCCCCAAACCCTCTAGATCCCTGCGCTCCCTATAGGGTTTCGGGTGAATTCCCACAAACCCATTGCAGCCAGTGAGCCGCGCGGCAAGGTTTGGCCTCTTTGATGAGCATGCGGACCGACTGGGCATCTACAAGGTTGCTGGGCTCAGGATCCTACAGGGGTAGGGTTTTGCTTGGGGTACTTCAGAGCAACATGATATCCTCCTGTTTGGCATGTCGTTTAATAAGAGGGCGGAAATCTTAGTAGGACCAACCACCAAAAACGCTGCTCGTAGGTTGTCCGTTTTGTTGGTGGGTATGAGGCGTTGGAAATCTGCTATAAGGGCTGGTGGAAGTTTTCAGGTCCTGGTGTAGATATTCCTGTGAGTCGGGTCAAACACATTGACTTTGGAATTGTTCCTTCTGCAGTTGATGGTGGGGCAGCGATAACCGTGTCAATCTCTCCAAGTCACATTTGCGGGGGCTTAGATACCCCCTATAGAACTGCAGTTTCCATTTCATGTTCCACTTTATTCTCCATTTGATTATCGCTTACCCAGACGTCCATATCTTACCCTTTTCCGGGTACCTATGCAGTATAGAGAAGATACACGACATAAAATTGCATATCCCAAAGAAGGGGTTGGATATAGTGGTCTAGGTACTACTCTTAGTTGCTGTTTAGGAACTTTACTTAAATACCCTAATCCCTGAATCCTAATCCCTAAACCCGAATTACTGACCGCCACTTCCCTTTCGAGTTGACCACGCTTTTGGTCGGCCTGTTCCTCGCAACGGTTCTCATGTGAGCTAGAGTCCAAACTCCTGAAAGGGGCTATGCCTATCAATTGAAGGGGCTATGTGGAGTTTGGGCCTTGTTGACGTGCATTGCTTCGTAACTTCAGCTACGACAGTTCAGAGGGTCAGGTCAGGGTTGAGGGTTGAGTCCTCTGCAACTATTTCAGGTAGTGTGGATTCAAGGCAGTAAGCCTTGCTGTTGGAGCCCGCTGCAGAGTAGTTTCCATGTTCTTTTCCATTATCCATGATCCCCATAAACCCCCATAAACCCCTATAAACCCCTGTCAACCCCTGTATAATCCCATTATACTCCCTAAGCCGGGGGTCTTCGCGACTCTCTGTCGCGGTCTCCTGCGCTGTGTCCTACGTGCTGTGCTGGCCTGGGGCCGTAATGGTTGCTCGAATATGAGCCATAATCTAAGTTCTTTGAAGGGCGGTTCTATAGCGGTTTATAGAGATAGGGGACTACAATAATTGGGGGTTATGAAGGGGGATACTAGGAATTCAGATGATGGCTCATAAGACAAATTCAAGTGTGCAATCATAAGTGTCGAATCATACGTGTCCTCTCCTTGCTAGAACCTCGGACGGGTATGGACCAAGTCTAACACGATGGTAGTGTCCATACATTAATAGGCCGATCCCAACACGGACCCCTGAATATTCTAACTACTCCCCCTCGTTACAGGGACCGCTACATATTCCCAGTTTCCATATCATTGTCCATTTTCTTTCCTTTTGATTCTCCATTATGGGGCCCTAAGCCCTAAACCCTTTACCTATATATCCGTTATGTAACCCTACACCCTTTATGCTAAGACCGGAAACGAGTCCTAGCCAAGGTAGAGACCGTCGGCGATGCCTACATTGCAGGCCCCACCTGGACTGGCAGTGAATGGGGTTTAGGGTTTAGGGATTAGGGATGCACTGGGAATTTCAGCAAGGATCTAGAGGATTTTAGGGTTTA